CCCTCTCCCTCTCCCGTCATTAATATTGGGGACGGTTCAGCTGGAGGCGAGGGAGCTCGGTGAGGTCCAGGAGGACCGCCCCTCGCTGGGCTCCCCATCATTTCCAGGCTTCTGTCTTCTGGGCTGGCCTGGGGGGCTCCAAGGGCGCCCCCAAACCCACCTGTCCCGACTCTGCCAGGGGCAGGTCCCTCTGTTGGCCTCGGCCCAGCCCGGCGCCCCCTCACTCTCTCTCTGGCTCCCGCAGGGAAACCCTGGGCCCGGGGCTGCGGTTTGCTGTTCTGCTGTCAGACTCCCTGGCCAGCCAGCCTCAGGCCCTGCACTCTCCTCCTTCCCTAGCCGGGCCTCCGGCCTGGCCTCAGACCTTACCCCAGCTCTCCCTGAGGTTCCAGCTCAGGCTGCAGCGCCAGGCCTGTCCCCACTGCCCACCCTCAGCTTTCTAAAGCACCAGGGGTCGGTCTCCCCTGCCCTCCAGCCCAGCCCAGTTCAGAACCTGTCCCTGTGTCCTCACCACCGACTGGAGAAAGGCCACACTCCCTGGGGAGGCTCCCGGACCTCAGACACATGCTACGGGCAGGGCTCTGCCAGCCTCCACCCCCTCAGGCTCTGTACACGCGGTGCCCTCTTCCGGGGCTGCCTTTCCCTCTGCCCTGCGTCCTGGCTCATCCCCAGCAGCCTCTAGCTTCGCTGACCCCTCAGTCACCCGCCCACCTGGGAGCCCACAGCCCCCCACACAGCCCTCTGTTGCTCATCTGCTCACCTGGGAGCGTCTTCAGACCTACACTCCTCCGAGGGCCCATTCTGGATCCTCCCCTCTGGGTTCCATTTACCTGCCCCAAAGTCTGCACGGACACCAGAGAAATGGAAGTATGGTTATTGCTTTCTGAGGATTGCCCCTTACCCTGTAGCCAGAGTTACCCACATCTGGCCAGGGAGCCCACGTGCCCGGACCTTGCTGAGCCTCAGTGTCCTCACCTGTGAAATGGGAATGATGATGCTGGCACTTCGAGGCATTGACTTGTTAAATGTTAGTTCCCTCCCCCTCGGAAACTCGGGAACCAGATCACTCAGTCGCTCCTTCGCCTGTGGGCGCCTGGGCCTCAGCTTGGGCTCCGGCTCCTTTGCAATGGCTCAATAGGACAGCTTTCTTGGGCCGTCCTGACCCTGGGTGCCAGCCTGGCCACAGCTGGGCACATCATTGGGCCCCTAACCCAGCCTCTCGGGTACTCCAGGCCCTTGGCTGTCGCTGCTCTCTCTGCTGCCTTGTACCAGCCATGTGCCCAAGCCCTGCCCGAGCCCCTGCCTGCTCAGGCAGCCCCTCCCCTCCTCCCCTCCTCTCCTCCCCTGGACCCCACATCCATCTGGCCCAGGAGGTCTGCTTCCTTTCATTCCATAAATAGTTGTTGAGTGTGGTGCATTATGTACTAGGCTTCCCCCCCCATCTCTGGAGACAGATGAGAAAAAAAAAGGTGTTTTTTTCCTCCTCTGTCCCCTCCTGTGTGATCCCTCTTTGGGGCAGCATAGGCCCCTCCCCCCCATCTCTGGAGACAGATGAGAAAAAAAAAAGGTGTTTTTTTCCTCCTGTGTGATCCCTCTTTGGGGCAGCATAGGCCCCAGACTGGGGGAGGCGGGGGCGGGAGGATGGTCCCTGCCCACCACCACATCTCTGTGAAGACTGCTTTGGTTGTGACTGAAACCCAATTCAAACTGCCTTAAGCGACAAAAGGAAAATTCTGCCTGTGTAACTGAAAACATCCAGAGGCTTGTTCTAGTTTCAAATAAGACTGGGTCTAGGGGCCAAATGACGTCATCAGGATTCACATCAAATGGAAGGAACGGGACTCCAGTTTGGGCAGAAGGAGGCTGGAGGTGGCAGTGGGGGAGACGATCAAATTCCAGATCCCCGAAATCCTGCTGATGTGCCTTGTCTGAGCCAATGGAGTCAGCATTGTTGGGGTGAGCCCAGCTACAGGGGTCTCTGAACCTCAGCAGGCAACAGCGGGGTCACAGGGGTCGTCAGGAGCTGGGGCGAGGTCCAGCCCAGGTGCGGCTGCGTGGGCGTCTCATCATGTGTCTGAGTTCCTGGTGGGGAGTATGTGACCACCACAGGCCCATGGCCACTCCCAGGGGCTCCCAAACTCTGGGGCGTTGAGAATTTCAGCCCCAAGCCCAGCTCCCCAACCCTCTAAGCCAGTGGTTCTCAACCTGTGGGTCGCGATCCCTTCGGCGGTCGAACGACCCTTTCACAGGGGTCGCCTCAGACCATCCTGCATATCAGATATTTACATGACGATTCATAACGGTAGCAACATGA